GTAGGGTCCAGTGGCACAGACTTCTTGATCACCCCAGCTGGGCCCTCAAGGTATACCCTTCACGTGGACTCTACACTCTTCTGTGCAATTGAGTCTTTATTGTTGTTGGCATGTCAATGGGAGGGATTTCCTTATGCTGATCAGCTGGCTGTGCCCATTGACCACTGACCTCTGAGTACCTTGGATGATCAACTGTGCAGGGGCCCACCACTCAGAGCCAGACTAACTTCAGGGCTCTAGTATATACTGATTCTACTCCTTGAGTGTGATGCTTGTAGAAGTGGTTGGGTGGTGGTGCTTCTCCATGGTCTGAAGCTGTCCAGTGGGTGTGCTGGCTCTGGGGCAAGGTTAGCCATTGCCTGTGTTCTGCCTGGGGCCACCAGGCATAAGCTACAAAGTGATCTACAGATGGCTGTTTCTTGTGCTGGGCTTGGGAGTGCCCAGGCAAAGCCAAGCTGTGAACCAAGGCTGGCTGCTTCTAGTGCCAGGCCCAAGACCACTTAGCGAGAGGTATCAGGCTCTCTGAGGCCAGATGCTGTTTGTGTGAAAGAATTTAGAAAACTCTGAAGCAGGAACCAAACCTGGACAATCCTATGGTAAAGCCGCTGGAAACAGCTTGGGTGGTCCTGAAAGTTAGATGGGACAGGGCAAACAGTGTGAGCCGCGTTGTTGAAGTCCCATATATAGCGTCTGTCTGCCAGCCTGTGGGGGAAGGGCCCATCAAAGGAACAAAAGCCTCCATCAGCAGGTCTGTGCAGGAGAAAGCTGCCTCTCCAGCTCTCTCCCTGATGACCAACCAACTCAGTTCTTCCTGTATGTCTCTGGTGCCTTTCAAGCTGCCTCCCCTGCACTGGAGCCCAGGAGCAGCAAGTCAGAGTAAGTGTGTGCGCTGGCCCTTTATGAGGAACTGCCTGGGACTCTAGAAGCCTCAGCCTCAATTCCCACTGGGTTTACAGCCAGAAATTATGGGTACCAGCCCGTCTGTGCCCTGCCCCTTTTACCAGTCTCAGTGTGGCTTCTTTAATTTCATAGTTGTAGGACCTCTGTTCAGCTCGATTTCAGGCAATTCTGAATGATGGTTGTTCTGTAGTTTAGTTGTAATTTTGATGTGGTTGTGGGAGGAGGCGAGAACCACGTTTACCTACATCAGCATCTTGACCAGAAGTCTCCCCCGTCTCTTATTTTTTGCAAGGTGGTTTCTTCTGATGGAAAATTGTTGCTCCTAATAAGAAATTCTGGTAATAGCCAAGGTGAGAAAGTATTCTGTATTCCAGCACATTGGCATGCCAAAATGTTCTGAAAGTTCATTAGCTTCAGTTATTTTCTCTACTAAGTGTTACAGGAACCACAACAGGAACCACAACATTATAAGTAGTCAATTCTTTATTATTTCAGATCAAGTTCTAGTTGCTTCTTGAATCTGCAAAATATATACCTTAATTGTTTTTAATTATGTATACCATTTGAGATGCCTTTAAATTGAATGGGGGAGGTATGGAAATATTTCTTCTTGCCCACACACATTTTCAAGCTTGATGAAAGCATCTATTGTTACTTCCCAATGATTTCCCATTCAGAGGGTACTTTTCATTCTCAGTCTAGCTGTTATGTTATCAGTTTAATTCTCTTGTCAAGTTTTTTTGATAGTTCATCCCCATTCTTTTATAATCATTTTCACCTAGTGAAGCAAATAAGATAATTTTGCAGATTGTGCTAGTTTTAAATTAATCCATTCTTTTTTAGAGAATGATTCTAATAGTGTGGTCAAGTACTTAGAAATCAGCAGGCTGCTAACTTCTTAATTTAGTCTGTTCACTCATTCCCTAATCACTTACCATGTCACTCAAGGTGAAATTCTTCCTCTTCTGCCCGCCCTCCCCCCACCATCCATTCTCTTGTCTCTTGTGCTGAGAAATAGGATTCTGAGATTTTCTTGACCATTTTAATCACGTTGAATTCTAAAGCCTTATTTGATAAACCTTTGTTATATTTTATGTAAGTATGGTAGTTTATTTATGATTTATAGTAATTTTTTGCTGTACGTTAGTATTATTGATGCATTTGGCCATATGAGAGCTTATTCAGAAAGACAAGCCATTCAATAAATGAAGCATGTTATGCTTTTTTATTTTGGATTATCATCTAGAGTGATTCCCAGAAAGAAAAAATAAATTTAAAAAGGAAAATGATTATCTAGATGAATATAAATCCATAGACCTATTCATCTGAAAAATATTCATGCCACCTATAGAGTTAAATTATAGATTTCCAAGTCATATTATTTTAAACTGTCATAAATACTGAAAGGATCTATCATAAATACTTAAAGGATCTATAATTTTATAAATTTAGATTATCGGTATTAGTTAACTGCTAAGTAATTTCTATTATATATAGTCTACATATATTTCTATAAAAATCTGTGGACTTATACACAAGCTATTTCAGAATATATAAAAATATAATTATTGCTTACTTTTGCTTGTGGAAATATTTTAACTATGATTTCACTAGTTAAAAACTGGGCGACTCTTGGTAGTGTGTATTCTTTTACTGCAGTAACTGTTTTTTTTTGTTTTTGTTTTTGTTTTCATTCTCATCCCAGGATATGTTTCTATTGATATTTAGAGAGAGGGGATGGGGCGGGGGGGGGGGGGGGGGGGACACTAATGTGAGAGAAGCATCAATTGTTTGCCTCCCACATACTCTCTGACCAGGCATCAAACCTACAGTCTTTTGGTGTATAGGGCAACGCTCTAATCAATTGAGCCCCTCAGCTAGAGCTGTATTTTTTTTTTTTTTCTTTTAAGTGGTCTTGGACTTTAGAGGCAGCATGTAGCAACAAGTGTGGCACTGCATTTGTGGTTATGTAATGATTGCCTATGGTAGCTAAGTCACCTTTTCCTTTGATCTTAAAGTGGCCAAATGTCTTTTGCTTGTTGCACTATTATCAGTAATTGGGATTTAATTTGATTTCTCATACTGTTTTGTCCCATTGAACAGAATCATAGATATATCTTAATTGGTTCCTCTGATAGAACACTGTTCAATTGCACATAGAAACAACTTAAACAATAGAACAATAGAGAAGCATAAGCATAGTTTGTAGGCATGCTGACATTTTAACAATAACTTCATCATTGGTGTGGCATATTGTGAAATCTCTTTCATCCAAATACAGACTCAGACAGTTAAGTTGCTCATGCAAAAATGTCAGTATACTTTATTTCTACCTTGAGCTTAGAGAATTTTTATATTTATTTAGTTCCAATATATGGTAGTAAGTAACTAAAAATCACTTATATAATACTGTTTTCATCAGCCACTGGACTTTTAGACTCTTACACTAGTATATGCTAATCCTCATATGGTAAAATTACAGTAGGCAATTTAAATCTCATTTCCTCTTATTATTCTTGCAAGTTGGTAGACTTGGCCCTAGTAAAACACAATGCCTCTTTACTATATTTATTAATAAAAATTATAATGAAGTTAAATGATGACTAAATATTCATGAAACAAGTTTGAACTGCAAAATAAATGAAAAGGGCCTTTGCTGCAGTTCAGTTTATTTCAGTTCAATTATATATTTTGTATAAATGACACTTTCATGAAAAGAGGATCTGAGTCTCAATTTCATATCACTTGTATTCTATTTTGCAAAAAGCTAATTGGAAATATGACACTTGTTTGCCTCAGCTATACTCAGTCACCCATTCATTCCATTGTAATTTCTCAAGACCTTACTACTAGCTAAGTGCTTGAGTATATATTGCTGAATCTCATCTTCTCCATTTTTCAGCAGCTTACAATGCAGTTGTGGAGATGAGGTTTGTCTGTTAGTAACAATAACGGGAGTGAGATCAATGGCCACAGAACAAACAACACTTATGTAAAAGAAACTACTTTGGTATATGTCTGTTGGAAAGACGTTTAGGTTACTGTGAAGTGTATGCTATTGAAAAATATATAGACTATTTGAAATGATGGTGTCTTCAACTTTAATTTATGGAGGATTCTAAATTATAGTATCGATATGGGCATTTTGTTCTCTCTAAATGTTAGGATTATGAAAGAAAAAATCATTGGACAGGACAAAAATAAGTTCATAAAAACTTTAACATGATTATGATATAGAACTTATGCTGACCATTAAGTAAATCACAGCATTAGAACTAGGTAAAGATTCCTATTCCTTATCTGTAATCATATAAAGTTTTTGCTGTGTGTTCTGGGGAATGAATAATGTCCTTCCTGTCAGTCAAATAGTTAGTGTTCTAGACCACATCCACTAGTAATGTTTACTTTTCTCCCCTCCATATTGGTCTCTAAAAGTTCATTCAGGCTTTTCTTTCAGCCTGAAGTTTGTGTACACATTGAAGAGCTGAGTGTGTGGTATTATTTGAACCTGTTACTGCTTTTCTTCAAATAGGAATGATGGCAACAAATTACTTACTTTAGGGAGATCTAACAAGTTTTGAAATTCAGAATATTAGGTACTATAAAATCCAGATGCAAAGAATGGAACCTCTTCTATTTTTAAATATTTCTAATTTTAAATCTTTCCTATTTTGCTTCTCAAATGTACAATGTGCTTCCTGCGGTAGCCTTTCCTCCTTACCTGTACTTTCACGGGGAGGTAGGGTTGCCAGCAACCGTGTACCAGCTGGTGGAAAACAGAAATCTGCCAGACCTGTACACAAACACATGCCCATCCATGCTCCACACTGCGATGTCCACTGAACCATCAGGCAAGCTCTATTTGAAGCATTTTAGGCATAGAGAAAAGTATACAGTTTGTTTTAGAAACATAAAACTGACAAGCCAGAAATTATTTTCTTTCCACACATCGTTTATACTAATTTAATTTTTCATTGTTGTTGTTTTACAATGTATAAATAGCAATGTAATATACCCCTTTATACTAGCATTAAAGCGGTGGGACATTGTACATGGTCGAAATATTACATGTGTAATGATTTGCATTCTTAATGTTCCAGAACCCTGGGGTTATTAGTTAAACGGTTGGAGAAAGGTGGTAAAGCCGAACAAGAAAATCTTTTTCATGAGAATGATTGCATTGTCAGGATTAATGATGGCGACCTTCGAAATAGAAGATTTGAACAGTAAGTGTGTGCTGGTGGCACTGCTCTGCTTCTGTGCTGCAGGCGTGATGGAGTGCAGCCTAGCGGCATGCTTTCCACAAGTCTGGGATCTCTCTCTTTGTACTGGAGAGATGTATTTTCTGCTTTACGTAGCTTTTAAACATTTAATCAAACTCTAGCTAATTACTACCATGAGACTGTGTTTTAAAATGCCCTCTGACTGGTAGAGTGCTTCTTAAAATATTATGGTCCCAATTTAGGCTTTACAGTTTTGCTACTTCCTCACCTTTTGGAAAATTCACCAAGGTACCAGTTGTATTATACTATAACTCACATTTCCAATTTCTTTTCACATAATGTCTCTAAAGACAAATAAGCAGACATCGCTTTTTTTCTTTTATCCTCACCCAAGGATATATTTCCATTTTTCGTTCAGAGAGAGTGGGAGGAGGAGAGAGAGAGAAACATCGATGTGAAAGAGACACATCAAGTGGTTGCCACCTACACGACCCAACCAGGGTCAGGGACAAACTGCAACTGAAGTACGTGCTCTTAGCAGGAACCGAACCTGGGTCTCTCTGGACCGTAGGCTGATGCTCTAACTGCTGAGCCAAACCGGCCAGGGCAGACACAGCTTTTTTTAATACAACATGTGGTCAGCTCAGATATTCTTTAGCCCAATTCAGGTGTCCTTATTCAATTGAAAGGATACAGTTGTCCAGTTCTTATAAAACAAGGCAAGAGTGTATAGAAATCATAAGGACTGGGCAGTCAGCATGACACGGATCAACTTCCCAGGCCAGTCATGGAGTAGCATTGGGCCAGCGACTCCTAACATTGAGTCATTGAGGCTGCATTGGTGCTCTTGGGATTTTTACACACATAGACTTGAATTAATTTTGCTGATACATAATGTGCTTTCTGTTGTTTTCTAGGTATATTTCTAAGCATATTCATTTATTTAAAAATTCAAATGGTCCCCTGTAAGGAAATATTTAATAATTTTTAAAAATATTTTTTAATTGACTTTTTAGAGAGAGAAAGGGAGAGAGAGAGAGAAACATCAGTGTGAATAAGAGAGACATCAACTGGCTGCCTTCTGTATGCCCCCTAGTGGGGATCAAGCCCACAACCCCAGGCATGTGCCCTGACAGGGAATCAGACTGGGTCCTCTAGGTCCATGGGACAATGCTCAATCCTTTGAGCCACACAGGCCAGGCCATTCTTATAATTTTTAAAAGTGATATTGGATAATGTTGTAGAGAAGAGGTTGTATTTAATTTCTATTAATATTGAAATTATAATACCTCCATTGTACTTAAAACTGTTATTTAATGATTTACTTTTCAGAACACAGTATTATATCTGTAGTTGTGATAATCTTGTCATTTTTATTTAGAATATGAGAAATTTATGTTTGGAGAAACAGCTGTGCTTCTCTCAGAGATTACAAACTTGATTGATAAATGGGATATCAGAATTTTGTTTTTCAGTTTCAGCAAAGTATGTCATTTCTTATTGCTTAATTAGTATACTTAATTAAGCTCATAATATCCTCTAGTCTGACAGTCTTGATTTGCTAATTTTCTATTTATTCTCAAACCCAGAGCACAGCATATGTTTCGTCAAGCTATGCGTACACCCATCATTTGGTTCCATGTGGTTCCTGCAGCTAATAAAGAGCAGTATGAACAACTCTCCCAAAGTGAGAAGAACAATTACTATTCAGGCCGCTTCAGCCCTGAGAGCCAGTATATTGATAACAGAAGTGTGACCAGTGCAGGGCTTCAGGCACTGCAGAGAGCACCCAGACTGACCCACCAGGCCGAGCAGATGGACTCGCACCCACGACTACCTCAGAATACACAGCCCTCTGGGAAGCCACCAGCAGCTCCGCCAAGTATATTTAGTACAAGTATAAGCAGTGGTTATAACACCAAAAAAATAGGCAAGAGGCTGAATATCCAGCTTAAGAAAGGTACAACCTATCTTGTGTTTTTTTTTTATGGAATTTATTGTAAAACTCATCCAACTAACCCAAAGCACCCTAAGTTTTATCCCATCATGTAAAAGAAGTGATGTAATGATTTTTTTTTAAGTATTTAAAATGAATTTCTATACTTTTCAGATTCATTTAGCTATATAAAAATTTAAATGTACAGAGAATAAGGCTTTAAAAAATAAGTTTTATGTGAAGGTAGCAGTTACTACTGCAGTGAAATTTTTTTAACAGTGAAGGAAAATGATTTCACGGTTGTCACATTCAAACCCAAAACAATAATGAGGATTTGACTGTTTTGATCATCCCACTTGATGAGGACTTAAGAGAGGTCCTTCATTTCAGCCTTGTCATTCTGGTGATAAGAAGTGATAGATTCCTTTAACACTGTCAGTAGTTTCTGGTAGAATAAGGAGAAGCTAGTCCATTGTTCTGTAATATTACATTGCTTCTCTTTCTGGACACGGGGATTATAATGGGCCCTGCTAATTCTTTTTTACATATACCTTATATCAACATTTCTTTTTTTGTTTTTAAAATTTTTTATCCTCACCCGAGGACGTTTTTGCATTTATCTTGAGATAGAGCTGGAGGGGGAGAGGGAGGAAGAGAGAGAGAGAGAAACATCGATGTGAGAGAGACCGATCGAGTGGTTGCCACCCACACGACCCCAACTGGGGCGGGGGACAAACTGCAACCGAGGTAAGTGCCCTTAGTGGGAGCCTCTCTGATCCGCGGGCCGACGCTCTAACCGCTGAGCCAAACTGGCCAGGGCTCAACTTATTTCTTTAAGTATACCTGTCCCATAGACCATGGATCCTTGTGTAAAGGATCTGTGACTTAAAGCAAATGCTAGACTTGACTTCTGATTTCCAATTGCTGTCCTCTCCAGGCATTGAGATACACTTTTGCTATCAGTCATCAATTTTAGCTGATTACTTTGATATGTTTTTAAATTAGGTCTTTCAAAATTGTGTCATTATAAAAATCTTCCTCTTTTTATGAGCTCAACCAATTCCTGCAATTAGATGGAAATGAACCCAAGGGAGGTCGAGTGGTTTCCTTGTCACCTGGCTGTTGATAGCAGTCGTTTCCTACTAGAACTTTCCATATCTTGACATTAAGACAATTTTTCTTTCCATCTGGGGTAGGGTTTACAAGTTTGTAAGCTCTGAGATTCCTATTTTTTTTCTAAACTATGTTCTTTCATTGAACTTTATGTGAACCACAAGTTCGTTATTTCTGGTTTCTTGGCTTTTAAGCCCCAGATACTTGGTTGATATGATCAGGAATTGACAGCTTCACTCCACTTTTGAAACCCATTACAAACACAGGGTCATAAGAGCATAAACCCCTTTTAGCTCTGTTCATTCCTAAATGAGAAATGGCAGATCCTCTTTCTTTTTCTCTAGTCAAATGACAGGCCCTAGTTTTTAAGCAAAAACATACCAAGAAACACAAATAGATTTGTATAAAAGATAAAATTCTGTTTGGGATCTCTCAACAAAGGAAAGATATTTTACTTGGTCACTGTCATAAATATTATTCATAAATATTTTTGCCTTTTCCCCCTGATAGAGGCATATTTATTTAATTAGTTATACTTTTTCACAAAATTCTTTTATTTTAGCAACTTATAATATGAATGTTTTAAATAAAGTGAAATTTTATTTGTCATTAAAATAATCTTTTTTTAATAAGGAAACTAAGTTTTATATTACTAGTAGTTGAAAAGCTATGATTATATTTTACATAAGCTAATTTAGAAAGAATGTGCTCAGTCAACATAAGAAAAATAGAAACAATGATCAATGATTTTCTTTTAAACATTTTTCTGATCTTCAATAATCTAAATGTTATAAAGCTTCATAGATCTTTTTTTTTTTTTTTTTTTTGTATGTGCCCCTAGCGGCAACTGAACCCTGGGACTCTGGTCTGCAGGTCCATGCTCCAACCACTAAGCCAAACCAAGCAGGGCCATATAGATCTATCTTGATTTTAATTTACTGACTGTGAGAATATATGACAAAAGGTAGAAACTGCCTGTGCATTCCTGCCAACATTTATAAATATTTTATATAAAAATAGTTTACTATAAATAAGAGTGAAGAATGCTGATTGCTTTTGATTGGTACTAAATACAGCTATTTAAATAATGATTGTATAAGAATTGAACAAGCTTTCATTGTAGTTAACAGATGTTTTTACCAATTATGTTACATTTAAAATTTTTAATAAAGTACATAAAAAACAGGGTATGTCAATGTTAAGCTTTAAATTCAGGTCATAGTGACGTGACATGTTTTCAAAGAAGCTCTTCATAAACTGAGATCATTTAAGTACTTAAAAAGAGAAGCCTTCAATATAATGATTCTTTGGCATAATTTTGGAACTATGTCATGTAATGTCACAAAGAAGGGTAACCTCTATGTACTTGCTTCCATAATTATGATTTCTTAATATTTATTGCCATCTTGACATTCTCAAATACCTTGCTCTTTTGTAGAAATTAGCTATTTAATAAAGTCAGAAGAGAAGATCAGTAATCTGTTTCAGTCAGTCAGTGTAAAATATTTTGTTTGCTAAATGAAAATTGATATCTATTTTTCTTTCTTTTAAAGGTCATTGCTTAAACTTTTAGCTTACAGATCTAGGGGTTATTGCTGATACTTTAGTAATATAAAGGTTCAGTCAGTCTTTATAATTCATACAAATTAATATTGTAAAAGGAGAGTAATTTAGATTTTTTTTTTTTAATAAATATTATTGCAAGTCATTGAGTTTCATGAAAGCATAGAGACATATGGAAAAGTCCCAGCAGAATAATTAGGAAAATTTCATATGGACATTATGCCATTCAAGTCTTCAGCACCGAAGACTTAAGAAATTAACAGTCCAGGCATATTAAAGTGACTTCAGATTTTCAGTAAATGAATGCTTTGTTTGAATTTGAAAATATTTACAGTAGGTTTTGTTGCAGGTATAGTTATTGAATACTTTCTTTGTTTCTTCATGTTTTTTCTTTAACCCACTTTTTCATTCATATTTATTTACCCATATTTGTTTGTTCACTTAAAGAATATATGTGGTTGCTTATAATATTTTACTGAGCACTGCATCAAATGAATGACTTACAAATTTTTGCCTAGCATTTATTCTAATATCATTTTATCTTACATGGAACCTAATATCTTAAGTAACTTTTTTAAAACATCTAGTAGAAATTAATCATTATTATAAATGTTATAAAAGTTCATTGATTCATTAGAAATTTGTCATTGTCACATTTTTCTTGGCTCATTGTATGGTGGTTCCAGTGACATAAAACCTTTCTCACACTGTACGGAACTTGTAAGAGTGCCTGCCAAGAAAGCTTACAAAGAACTTAGAAATTAAATTATACAAACCAGCACAGTGATTTTTAAATGCCTCATTAAGTTTAGTGCCTTTAAATACGATATGGTGATTCTCAGATTTAGCAGCTATTATCTGTGATGGGTTCTTTACTGTGTATTTTGCCTTGTTTTTATTTCATTTTAAATATACATGGTCAGAGTTAGGTGAGTTGGAAGAGAATTAGACAAACATAGGTTTCATCCTGTTGGTAAATTGCTATTACTAATTATCATTTGGGGAGATTCTGTAATCTGTATCTAGAAAATTTTCTCTTTTTTTAAATTTCTTTTTTATCTCCCCGAGCATTTCTCTTCCCCTCTACCTGTCAAATCTGAATACCATATTCCACAATAATATTTGCTATTTGAGGTACTATGGGTTTTAACAGAAGTTTTTTTGTTTTGTTTTTTGTCATAAAGACATTAAGTTTATTTTTATGACCAAAGGTTTAGGCCAATTAAAAAATTTTTGGCAAACCTATTTGTATTACCTTTAATCTGTCTTTAGATAGATTCCTATTTTTTCTCTAATGAATTTTGATATGTCTACCATTTAAACCTTTCAGAATTTAGTCTGTTTTGAAAATCTGTTACAATTTTTATAGTATTGGAAAAAATGTAGGTCGTTGTGAAAGTTACAAAATGTTAAGTTGGTATAGAGAGTAGTAATAACAATTTTTTTTAATGTATAATGTACTTGTGAACTTCAAAACATCTCATTTTATTTACTTTTTTTTTCTGCTATATATTTAGGTTCAGAAGGTTTAGGATTCAGCATCACTTCTAGAGATGTAACAATAGGTGGCTCAGCTCCAATTTATGTGAAAAACATCCTCCCCAGGGGGGCTGCCATCCAAGATGGTCGACTGAAGGCAGGAGACAGACTTATAGAGGTGAGTGACTTTCAAGTCAGAAGTTACATAACTCTTGAAAGATTATTTTTTTAAATACTTTTATGAAAAGTGAAACTTATATTTTACTAGAAGTATGCATCACAAAACAATGCATTTCTGCTTTCCTTTTACATTTTCCCATGTTATTTGATGAGAAGTACCTTTTTTGGTTAGTGTACTCAAATTTTTAGATACTCAGACATTTGGTTTATGAGGTAGAATAACATTTTGAAATTATGTAAGTATAATGCCTATGAGATTATATTTCTAGATGGCTTTAAATTTATGTCTGGCAATGTAGAAATGTTATCTACTTTGTAATCAGAACAAAGACAAATGAAGTAAATGAAACAGTGTATTTTAATGAGAGAAACAGGACACTTTCAAATGGCAGCATGGAAAGTGAATTGAGACGTAAAAATCAAATGTCAGGAAAAAAGGAAACCATTTTCAAAATTTCCTTTCTGTACCTCATAAGTTTCAGTTCACTGGTCTTTGGAAATGTCTTTGACATACATAAATATACAGAATTTCTGTTTGTGTGAATGTCGTTCATATGGAAATAAATGGGAGAAACATTGAGTGAAAGTATACTTTATCATCTTTTTTTTCTTAGTGTTTTCTTCAGAAAACATACTTCTGTATTCTTATCAGTAGATATTAATAAGTATTCAAATTCTAGTGTTAACGTACATTTTATAAAGTGACTGTTTTTTCTTGTATTTTCATACATTGTTTTGAATTCTCCAGATTAAGCCCTCCTAAAGATTTCCTGAAAATTACTGGAGCAATGGAATAACTTCTGGATTTTTGCATGTCTACATTTTGGGCCTACATTACTTAAATCTTACTCTTTTTCTTTTTCTCTTATTCATGTGACACCATATTTTAAACGGATACTGATAGAAGAGGCTAAATAAAAGGAAAGGTTTGAGTACAAATTATATTTAAGGTGTTGTTTCTATAAAGGACCACTTATTCTTGGTGTATAAATTGTGTACAATTGACCATTGAACAACCCTGATGCCCGTGCAGTCGAAATTCTAAGTGTAACTTTTGATTCCCCATAGACTCACCTACTAGTAGTCTACTGTTGATCAGAAGCCTTACCAGTAACATAAATACATATTTCCTGTCATATGCATCGTATACTGTATTCTTACAATAAAGTAAACTAGACAAAAGAAAATGCTATTAAGAAAATCAGAAGGAATTGAAAATACATTTATAGTGCTGTACTTAATTGAAAAAAATATTTGTATATAAGTGGACCTGTACAGTTTAAACCCATGTTGTTCAAGGGTCAACTGGAGTTATTATTTCAAGTTTGTATTTGTAGTTTGTTTTATTTAGTAAGAGTCTCAGGTGGGACTTGAATCTTTGCCTCTAAGTCCAAAAAATAAATGTCTGTCCTTTTTTCCCAGACCTCTTTTTCTCCCTGAATCTGCACCCCCTACAACCTTCTTTCTTTCTAAAAGTTCTTACTTGATTTTTTAGTAGCTCTTTCATCACATAATTACTTTACTTTCAACATATCACAAAGACTTTTTTTTTTTTTTTTTTTTTAACAATGGGAAGAGCCTGCAGCCTGTATTTTTTCTGAGTCAGGTTTTATTTTCTATAGCTATTAGTTTTCTCTGAAAACAAACTACATTTCACATGTTTTAAATCTAACTGTCTAGTATCTATACAGTATCAATAATTCTGTGGGTTGTTTTTCTGAGTATCTGGATATCTGGAAGCATATAGAAAAATTGTCAAGGGACATTTTTAGTACTTAGAAATTTTTCCTTTTTTTAAACCTGTTCTACTTATCTATTTCGTGCAATCCCTTAACAGTAGTAGATTGAGCTATATAAGATGGTTTTTAATAGAGAGGAACGGTTCCAAAACATATTTTAACTACAGGAAGATTTTAATATTACAATTTAAATAATATATTTAGTTTCCTTGGACAAAATGCTATTTTCATCTAGAGAAAATAAGACAGAGTACTTTTTAAAAGCAAATTTTACTCTCATGTCTGTTTAAATATGTAGCGCTTTTTGATAACATTATTATACTTCCTACAAAGTAAAAATGATGACATTTTCAGGAATTGGCTCTTTCATATCTTTTATTGTGGTAGAATTATTTTAAAACATTGAAAATATTGAGGTGAAATATTGCTATTTCTCCAAAAATATCATTATTTTGTAGAGATTCTTCTTTACTATTAGCCTTTTAGGAATAAAAAGATTTATCCTCATAATTTTTAGTAGAATTTCATTGAAAGTTAAAATATTTATACTCAGCTATTTTTGAGTGTGGTTTTACTTCCCTCTATAAAAGCCTCAACTTTTTATTTTGTTATAAGAACATCTGTGCTACACAGGCTGTCAAGACATCTCAGTTCAGAGGCAGGGAGTTTCATGGTAACTTTCCAGTTTAGATATACTTGTTTATTACTTGCTACTTGTTCATGCTAGAATGTGTGTCTTTTCTTCCGTTATCTGTTTGCACAGGATTATAGCTGACAACTTGTTATTTGTTTTAGGTAAATGGAGTAGATTTAGCAGGCAGATCCCAAGAGGAGGTTGTTTCCCTGTTGAGAAGCACCAAGATGGAAGGAACTGTGAGCCTTCTGGTCTTTCGCCAGGAAGATGCCTTCCACCCGAGGGAGCTGGTGTGTAAATTTAGAGCAGATAAAAGATTTCTGACACACATGAGCTAGGGGTGGTCTGGGTTGGCTACCTGAAAACCAGTGTTTATTGAGACATTTTCCAAGCAGTTTCTATATTTTATATGTCTTTCAACCTTAACAATACAAGCATTCTTCTCATATTTCCTCAGTTTTGGAAATAGATGACTACAACATTGAGTGTAAGGTTATTTAAAAATCACATTGCAGGAATATTTTCTAGGACAGCAAATGTTTATTACTGGTTGATTTCAGATGGACTGATTGAATACAGAGACACCAGTTATTACATGACTGTCACTTCAGAGGCTCTTGCTGAAAGCTTGCCATGTTCTCCACTGCATGTGACAGGCCTTCCTATTTCAGTTCTTCATAGTCGCAGTTAAGTCAAATAAAGATGCTTGATTTTTGTATGAAAAGGGAGTACCTTTTATATATTATTATTGAAAATGAAAAGACCTGAGTGTTAGTAAGCTCCATGAGCATTAATTACTAACATAGACATTATTTCAAATGACATAAATCAAATGAAAAGACATTTGTTTGCAAACTGTTTAACTTTTTATGCATATATCTACACATCTAAATATTAGATAAGGGTATTTATCTAGTTTTGGTACACAAGAAACATGTATATTAAGGGCAGAATTTCATTTATATATAAAATGACACAATTGGAGAAATCACCTTTATCTTTTGATGTGGTGAGAACTGTTACTTCAAGTACAAATGGTATTTTAAATATTTTAAAACAGATTCTAGTTGGGTCATTTTACAAAATATGATACCGCTTTCAACTGGCTTTTTAGCTTTATCTAAAAAACAATTCATATATAGTAGAATGGCAGGGTGGCAAGGTTTTTGGGGCACAGGTCCTAAATTTGTCCTAAAGCCCTAATTAAGCAAACACTTTTGTTATGTATGTTTCATGGTGAAGAAAATGTTCCTTTTATTACAAACCAGATAATTTTTAGTTATAAGAATATTCCATCTCATGATTACTAACAGATCTAAAAATTTCTGTAATTTTGCGGAAGTTTCAGATTTTCATAAAACTGAAAAGTGAACACTTGTTTTAAGTAGATTTTGAAAATGTCTTTTTAAAATGTTTAATGCATTACTCTCCCCCTACACCCTCCACTATTATATAGTTTTGTATTTAAAATGTCACCTGATCCTAATTCTGTAAATGTCTTTATTAAGTTGTAAATTTGCATTTAAAGCAAAACTAAGATTTAGATATGATTTAATGAAGCTTTAATTCTTCCTCAGTGTATGTGAGCTTGGATAATAGCATTATTAGATTGCCAGAGCTTCCACACCACTCTTAAGCAGCCTTCCAGAATTAGTGCCAACATACGGTCAGCTTAAGGTTATTCAAGTTCTTCTTATTTAATTTTGATCTTCCAGGCTTCTGTTTTCTCCTTCTGCTACCTACTTTGTTTTTATTTTTATTTTTTCTTGGTTATTTAATTTATTGCTTGTGAGAGTTTCATTAAGGAGTGAGCCAGTAGGCCATCAGTCTGTTACTCACTTTGCAGCTGCTTGTTAAGATGTAAAAGAATAAAATTCTGAAAACTTAAAGGGGCATTTAAAATAATCTTTGAATCCAATTACCAAACTCTTTTCCTCTGTTTGGGGTGTCTGTGTATAAATCCTGTGTCTAAAATGAAATACGTTTATTAGTATGTGGCTTTGAAATAAATCAATCTTGTATCTATGTGTGTAATTAAAACTACTCTATAATATCTGAAAAAAATCACATTTAGAACCCATGTAATATTTTTTAAAATATGTTTTTATTGATTTTTTTTTAGAGAGAGAGGAAGGAAGGGAGAGAGATAGAAACATCGATGTGAAAGAGAAACATCAATCAGCTGCCCCCTGCATGCTCCCCCAAACCCAGGCATGTGCCCTGACTGGGAATCAAACCAGTGATCTTTCAGTGCATGGGACGATGCTCAGTCCACTGAGCCACACCGACCAGGCAGAACCTATGTAGTATTTTAAAATATAATGCTTGTGGTTCATACTCTTATTATCTGGTCTAGCTATCAAATTATAATATAACTTATAACTTAGATTTAGTTGGAAAAATTAAAAACAAATTAGAAACAGTGCTATGAATAGAAGAGCTATTTGGTGAGATTTGTTTTCTTTTATATAATAAATTAATTATGTACTGTGAATGAATGAGGGAAAACATAGCATCTAGAAAAACTTAAAACACACACCCACAAAAGGTAGCATAAGTATATCAGTGACAGTTTGGAAGACAGAGTAGTATATTAGCCAGAATATAATCACTCTCTATATATTTTAGAATTTAAAAAAACAGCAAAATTTTCTTTAAAGTAAAGCTTTGTGTCCCTGTGTGTTAAAGATGGCTGTGGTCAGTCTATACTTATGTTTTTCTTCAATTCTTCTAGAATGCTGAGCCAAGCCAGATGCAGATCCCAAAGGAAACGGTAAGAGCTTTGTCTTCTGCAGGATGCAGAGATGTTCGAAAGGTCAATGGAACTAACTCCTCACTAATTAAATAAATATGAAGTTAACTTATTCTCCCTTTTCCTGGCTCATACAGCTATTACATAAGTTTATTAAATTCCAGAGTGGTCTTATCTTAAGGTGGCTTACTGCTATTATCCCAAATATAGAACATTTCATGCTTATTTTTGGTTAGACAGAGATTAAGAGATAGAAATTAGATTAGTTTTCTGTTATCTGCATAATAAGAGGGACCAAAAGTTGGTGAGCCTGGTAGTTTGACATATATGTAAAGAATTTCATGAGTTGTAAAATGCTACAAGTGGCTAGAAAGTTAAAAAAAAAAGAAAACTTGATTCAGGCACATAAAAAATAGGACGGGCTAAAAGTACAATAAAAATGTGTCATAATCAGGAAAAATAAAATGTTAGTAATTAGGCTAAATATGCTAGTTGTCTTAATAAATCGTAAGTATTTTATTTATTATAAGTTATTATAGCATATTATAAGGGTGATTTCTCTTAATAAAAGTAAGAACTTACAGCATAGATTAAAGTTAAAATCTGGTTGTATCCTGCTTAGAAAACAAATCCTAATATGTACAGACTGGAAATAAAGGAATAAGTAGACTTCTAGCAGGCAATACTAACACAAAGTAAGAAATGTCATATCAGTGTCTGACAGTAATATTTTAGTGTGGATGCCCTGCATGCTGTATATACTGATACATCATTTGGTAGACATTTTAACACTTAGGGTTTTTTTTGTTTGTTTGTTTGTTTTTTATCCTCACCCGAGGATATTTTTCCATTTTTTGTACAGATAGAGTGGGAGGAAGAGAGAGGAAGGGAGAGGGAGAGAGAGAGAGAAACATCGACGTGAAGGGACACATCGAGTGGCTGCCACCCACACGACCAACCAGGGCCGAGGACAAACGGCAACCGAAGTACGTGCCCTTAGCGGGAACTGAACCCGGGTCTCTCCAGACCGCAGGCCGATGCTCTAACCGCTGAGCCAAACTGGCCAGGGCAACACTTAGGGTTTTTTATATCAAACAACATGGCATAAAGCATATCACTCTTAAACTCTTGTAAGAAGGAAGAAAATTTAACAAAACCACATGCACATGGTGATGCTAATACTTATTTTCAAAAATTGTCATATTAAGTAGATCCAAAATGGTAAGAACATGAAGAATTTGAATGACATAATGAACAGGTTTGATTTTTCTTTACACATTTATATACAAGCAACTTTGACCCTAATAAGCAAACAAACAAAATATATTAAATATTTTCAAATATTTAATAATTACCAAGATGGATGACAAATCAGACCTCAGAGAAAAATCAGTAAACAACCTTGAGAATATTACACATTCATAAATATGGGTTGTAGAAAATCATAGTTTTGATTTTGTATTTCTAAAATCAATGAGTTGGTGACAGCTAATCAGAATCATAGTGGTATGTGTGGGGGTGGTAGAGTGGGTTGAAAGGTGAAGGAAATTGAACAGATTGATTCTAAAGAATAAAGTGATCTCAAGAATGATTTATACTATTTTAAAAGACAATAATGATGACAAAAAGTACTCTCAAGCTAAAAAAACTTATTAGAGATGATAGAAACAGACCTGCTGTGTACATGTATGTTAAAGGTGGCATTTCAAAATAGTGGTAAAGGATGGTTTTCTTAATGTATAAAGCAATTGCCGTTCACTGTAAAAAGTTAGATTTCTCTTTTTTCTCATTATATATCAAAGTAAATCCCTGTTGATTATGAGATTAAACCTAAAAAAGTACTAAAATGTTTTAAGATGAAATATGTGAAAATCTCTCTGTTAATTTTGGAGCATGAATGCTGTGCAAGCATGAAGAGACCACGATGTCGTTAGATAAATGCGTGATGGATTGTGTGTGTGTGAGTGTATTTGGATCCTTTTGTAAAGCAGGAACCAAACCATGAAATAGTTACCAGACAAATGCTAAATGAGAAAAGTATTTTGCAGTGTGATCCCTGGGTAAAGAACACTTCTTTGTTGTTAGAATCTTAATATCATAGAGCTTTTTGGAAAACAGGGACTTCACACATAAACTACATCTGGTAATGCTTAAGACAATCTAAGATGGGAAATGGTGCTGTAAGCAGTAAAGATAGGTATATTCTTTCAAAATATTTAGTTAGTCCTAGTGAGGGCATTTTTGATGATTAGCCCTGAACTTTTCATTCACTAAGGGGAAGCAGCAGCATGGGCCTAGGTGGGTCCACGAAATCCATTGGTGATGGATTAGGGAGGCAGGAGAAAGCAAAGCGGGGAGACCTCTGGGATTGAATAAAAAGTAAAATGATAGACACAGCTTCTTTTACATAGGTGGATACAGGATAGTTAACAGTCAACAATGAACTCAATAACAATGAGGGGATTTGTGTTCTCTGCAGAGTGCTGCCTGTGCTTTGAGGGGTCCGGAAAAAGGAAAATTACTTTGACATTCCAAAGATGTTATAGATGCAAACAGACAATAGACAGGTTCAGTTAAGGCAGTGGTTCTGAACCTTCCTAATGCCACGACCCTTTAATACAGTTCCTCATACTTCATAAATGTAATTTTGCTACTGTTATGTCTTAGGCGACCCCTGTGAAAGGGTTGTTCGACCCCCAAAGGGGTCACGACCCACAGGTTGAGAACCACTGAGTTAAGGTAAAGTTTGACCTTTGTCAGGGAAGATGCCAGTCTAGGACATGACTACCTACTATAAACTGCTTTTAGTTTAAAAGTTTTAATTTCAGACCACCCTTTGTGGTTACTTTAGGGCTTTGAGTTTGCAAGGACACCACACAGACCTCCCTTGAGCTTGTCAGGTTAGCATGTGGCCCTTTTTCATCCATAAGACATAGAGGATGCAGCAGGAGGAACAAAGTTCAAGGTAACGGGGATCTCAAAGAAGGCTTGAACATAGGGGATCTCGGATCATTTGCCTAGGTGGCAGTAGTATAAATCCAACTGGAGAATGGTGTTATAATTAAAGGTGCCATTCTGAGGCTAGATCTCCTGATTATCTGATTTATATTGTGGCCATGATGTATTGCTTTAAAAGGCAGGCCAGAGGTGAGATCTTGGGAGGGGTTGAGATTGAGTTGCCCATGGCATTATTAAGGAAAAGGAGGGAGAATTGTGAGCCTAGTGAGAGACAGAAACCTTGGGCCCGAATTCCAGCCTGGTTGCTGCCTCTTTGTGCTGAAAACTATTCTAAGAGGCATCCCTTGATAGAAAGGGTTCAGTTTGGACTGTGTTGGTCCCCCAGTGGTTAGGGAAAAATTGGAGCTTTCTCCCTATTTAATCCCTAGTGCAACTGAGACTGGTTGGACCCAGTGCTAGGATTTGCCAGTGAAACCCTAATAGTGTTGTGACTAGATGATGAGTGAGCTATCGACCCCTGAAATGCCAGAATTGACAATGCCGAGACTCATAGTCCCCAAAATAAAATCCCACAAGGTGTTTTGGGCTGGGGTTTGGGCAAGTGTGTGATTTTTCATAGTGTGCCTCAGTTGCTCAGATGTTTGCTTGAAACTGGCAGGCTACCTAATGCAATGTTGCCCATTCCGAGCCCAGTTTATCCTGTCACAGCTGCCTTAGTGGCTTTTAAGCGGTTGACCCATGCCTGCAACTGGTGGTCATGTGGGGAATTGAGAGTGTTGATCCCTAGTGCCCTCTTCCTGAGAAAGAAGTGCTTCACCCGTTAGTAGGAATCAGAAGGTCGATGATCTGTTACTCCTACCACCGTTTGGGAATCCGGAAGGACTTGGTCACTTTGGACCCCAAGACTACGAGTCTCTAGGGGCGGGGTAGGGGTTGGGGAGAAAAGGAAGAGGGAGAGGAGAAGAAAGAACAGGTTCTTTTCTAGATATCCCCATTTGGTCCACTAAAATGAAATGGGTTGGGTCAACAGGAATGTAGATCTGTGATTGGGTGCTTCCTTGGCAGATTTGTTCCTTACATGATTTGATTCCTGGTATCAGGCATTTCCTGTCTTACAAGTCCTCCTGATCTTTGTTCTCCTGTGGCAGGAAGCTTATAAAATGGCCATTAAGAATTATATTACCTAGTAAGTCCTAACAGTTACCTTTTCAAAATGAGACAAGAAGCCGAATATTATCCAGCAGTCTCAGGGTCACTTGCTCCATGTCCTGAACCAAAACTCCTTTGCCTTTGAAATTTTATTCACTTGATATAGGATGCTCTCCTGGGTGTGTCCAGTTTGGACAGGTTATTTATGGATGTATTAGGGTTCTTCAGAGAAACAAAACCAATAGAATGTGTGTATATAAAGAAAGAGATTTCATATAGTGAATTGGCTTATGTGATTATGGATGCTAGCAAGGCCCAAGCCCCAGGAGAGTCCTGTTCCAGTTCTATTCCAAAAGCTGGCAGTTTTTAACTCAGTAGAGCGAATGTTAAAGATGAAGACCAAAGTCAGTCTGTTTGACAATTCCCCCCTTGCTCAGAGATGCCTGTCTTTCTCTTCTGTTTAGGCCTTTAATTGATTGGATGAGGCCCACCCATATTGTGGAGAGCAGTCTTTTTTATTCAAAGTTTACCAATTTAAATGTATTAATCTCATTCAAAAACACCCTCTAAGTTGACACCCAAAATTAACCTTAGAATGAGGTAGTGAAGTTACCTGTTGGCTATCAGGACTTCACTTCCCAAAGTGCCAGTTTCTTCCTGAGTTCTATATACAGTTGTCCCTTGCGCCTTCATGACACTTCGACTTTCACGGCTTCACTCTATTGTGGTTTTTTCAAATATATGCTTTAAAAAGTTGATTGAGACAGTGAAAATGATACAGCATGTGCTTGGTTGTCTGAGTCAATTATATACCCCTATATTACAATTAAAATTACTGTACGTATGGACTGTAGGCCTATGTATTCGAGCACCCCCGTAAATCCAACGCCAGGTGCAATCGCTTGACCACTTCT